TATTTTCTTTGCCTCACTTTGGAGAGCAGCGATAAAGGTTTTCTTCCTGAGCCTTCTCAGAGCAGTCTGGAGCTGCCTCATTCATGAATTATTGTCTGTTCAAATAAACTCTTTTAAAATGTGGTACAGTGGTATAGGTCTATAGCTCCAGCACTCTGGGAAGCTGAGGCAGGAGGATTGTAAGTTTGAGTCTGGCCTGAGCAATTTCACAGCTTAGCAAGATCCTGTCTTAAATTAAAAATAATAGCTGGGAGTAGCTCAGTGAGAAGGCCCTTGGTTCTCGTCCCTTATACCAAAAAAAAAAAAAAAAAATTAATGGAACTAACTTCATTTCTTAATATCTTGTACTGTGCGAGAAAGGTCATTTCAGCACTGTTCATCATGAGTTGTGTAAGAAAGATTCTCTCAGCCCCAGATTGAAAACCCATGCACCCAAGAAGAGTGGATTGAACAAACTGTGGTAATTTATATAATAGAATACTATCAAGCTAGAAAAAATGACTATAGTGACACATCCATAAATACTTGGGTATTTTACAAACATAATGCTTTACCAAAGAAACAATCAAAAAGATTGTAGATTGTATTATTCCCTGTATATAAAGTCCAAAAACAGGCAACACTAATTCTCAGCATTAGAAGTCAGGACTGGTGTTAGTTTTGGGGGAACAGGTGCAACGGAGGAACACAAGGGGAGGGTTTGGGGGGCCTCACAATGTTTCATTCTTGATCTGAGCGCCGGTTACATGGGTGTGTTCACTGTCAGAAAATTAATGGAACTGTACAAGTATGACTCATGTACATTTCTATAACATATAATGCTTAATAAAACTGCACAACAACTCAATTTGTTGTGAACTGGGTATTTTTATATTATTTATAGTAGAAGAGAATATTGTAATAAGACAAAAGTTTTTGCTCTTTAGAATATATAGCCTTGAAGGGGAGATGAGCTTTCAAGGATGTGATTTTTAAGTAATATTAAATGAGAGAGAGAGAGAGAAAGAGAGAATGACAGAGAGACTCCAGACTCCAGAACAGGGTCCTTGAAGTGGGCAACAGGAGTAGGGAAAGAAGAGCCAAGGTAAATTCCTCAGAGGGGGTGAAGTCCATCTGACGCTGAGTTGATGACTAGGAATTAGTTAGTCTCATAAGGAAGGTAGAGTAGCTGTACAGGGTCCCCCGGGGACCACTGAAAATGAAGTATGCAGAAGAGCCTGTGAGATCTCAAATAGGTGGTGGAAAGGTCTGTTTTCCTTACAGTGATACCTCAAAAGTTTCTGCCAAAGATTTGAAACCACCTATGTCAACACAGCTTAATTGCTGATTCCAGGAAATTCTTGTGCCTAAGAACAAGTCATTCACTAGTCACAAGGTATGGTCTCCACCTAACCATGAGTACTTGGTTTCTAAATCAAACTATTTTGAAAGGTGCACTGAAGTAAGACGTATAAACAAGAAGGCTTTTGTTTCCAATAGCTACTAGAAGGAAGAACTGAAGACCTTCTGTTTTCACAGGTTTAAAGAAATGCTCATCTCTCTAGAGTTTAGACAAGTTGAAAGGTTGACACTGAGAGCCTGTATGGGATATGACATCATATTTGAATATTTTTCATTTTCTCTGCTAAAGAGTTGCTTTTCTCCTTATTGATAACTACTCTACCGTTTTCACATAGAAATATGCACTTACGAACTTGAGACTTGCAAGATTTCTTGAAGCTGGCCTGCTTAAGCTCTTCTAAAGGAAAAGTGATTCCCCATTACGGCTCTGAGGAACTTGCAGCCCTGCTGATGCTTTGCAGTTTGATTTGTAATTGAATTAACCAGCCTCCTGTATGGGTGACCTTAGCTCCTCCTCAGTGGCCTCTGCTGTGGATTCAGTTTCAGAGGACTCTTTGATGAGCAGCCCCTTGTGTGAGGCCAGCAACCGCACCTCCCACAGGGCTTCCTAAGGGACTTTGACCTGAAGCCCAGAAATTAAAGTCTTAATATTCTTATCTCAAGAGAAAGGAGATACTAAAAAAATAAAGCGGTTTTTAAAAAAATACTCAGCTATTAGATTTCTGTACTCCAACACCAAAGGTATCAGAGCTGTAGAAAGCATGCCCATCCATTCCTTCTTCCAGTGACTAAATGCAATAGACTAGAATATTTGGTGAAATCCTTTAATTCTTCACAGCCATTTTCTCTCTGCCATAAGGTCTTAGGGGGCCTGGGTAAATTAAGTCCTTGGGATTGACTCTTTGGGCATCCCATAGTTCTTCAAAGTAATTGTACAGATTTAACTTCAATATGTCTCTAGGTCAAAGCTGTATATTAAAAAAGAGCAAACTATACACCAAGAAGGAGATAGGATTTGTGAAATCCCTTCTCTGGAGGAAAAGTCATAAACTGGAGGCTTAGGATAAGACAGGGGGAGGAAGGAGAGGTGGGGGAAGCTAATCTGACTCAGTCAAAATCTAGCCCAACATTGCTTAGGATGGAGTTGACAAGTGCAACAGAAAGAGCCCAGACGGAATCCAGAAATGAAGGTTATGGTCTCCAGAATAGAAGTACTATGCGGATCACACACAGGAGAAATTCGGGCAAGGAGCTTGTGAAACCCATTGGGAGCTCTCCACCATTGCTGTCCTCCTGTGGGCCCCGTGACGTGACTGATGCCGAAGGGACCCTGTGTTCACCCCAGTATGACAGTCAGGGCAGAGCAGCAAGTACTGGGCCTGGGCCAGTGAGATTCCACAGTCATGGGTCCCATCTAAAATTTTAATTACTGGGTTTCAGGTTAAACTCCTGTATTTCAATGAAAAATTCTCTAGGGAACAGTTTCAGCAATACTATAGACTGAATAATATGCGGCTACAAAACACCCAGAAAAGCCAGGTGAACATAAATACATATACTTACAAATTTAGAGCTTAGAATACTTGAAAGCAAAGAAAATTCCTACAGGACAAAAACAAAAATGGAAACCTAGAAGCGTGTATATGAAAATGGAATAGGACTTGTCTCTATTCCCTGTGTACGCCCCTTACACAAGAATTCAGGATCCCTGAAAGGGACAGTGAAACATCTGAGTCAAGACTTTGCTTCCTTTTCTGACAAATAAAGAGCTTGACAAGCTAACACCGGTGAACTACAAAGCCAGTGCAGTGTCTTGGACCCACCACAGGCCTGAGCTTACAGGGTAAAGCACTGCCTTCGACATGGGGAGGCAGGTGTTCCTGTGGAGTTGCAGCTGAGGTCTGATGACCTGCAGCAGAACCTCCGTGAGAAATACTTGAATGGTAATTGTGATGAATTGCTGAAGCCGAGTGTGAAGTCACCTGAAGGTGAGAAACTCCTAGGGGACACAGTCTGGGGTCAGGGGAAGGGCACACCTTCATGGTCTTTACTTCCAGGAACCCTACCGATGATGATCCAAGAGAGACTCCCTCACGGTCCTGGCAGGGGAGGACATGAGGAATCATCATGAAATACACTAAGAGAGCTCCTCTCCAGAGCAAAGACTTTACCAGAGCCTTATCCCCGCGAGGGAAAGGAGATTTCTTCAGCTCTAGCCTTCTTTAATCTTCCCAATTTATGTAACAGGGGAGCGGGAAATGTAGTCAATAGAGGTCAGAGCTTTGGAGAGTTAAACTGGAAACACTGTGGCCAGGAAGAGGAATAGTGGGGTGAGGAGCAAAGCTGTAGCACTGGTGAAATACTTCTGGAGGTAAAAGCCATGGGATGTGGGCTCCAAAAGGGACTGAGATTTAATTTAATTGGAAAGTTATCGAATACTTTCCCTCCCACACACCTCAGCACCACCCACAGAGCTCCAGGATTACACTGGGTACCGCTAAATGTGCTGAAGACGCACACAGTCCCTGAAGAGTCCTGACAGAAGCCCAAAGATGAGAGAGACAAAAATAAGGACAGTAGAGGAACTTGAAGCCCACAGCTACAGGAAACATTAAATACAACTTGTTTTAGTCTCTCCAGAAGGCTATTACAGGCTATTTTAGGCTAAGTAATTTATAAACAATAGAAACTTATTGATCACAGCTCTGGAGGCTGAGAAGTCCAAACTCAAGGCATCAGTAAATTCAGGGTCTGGGAAAGGGTGGCTCTCTACTTCAAAGACGGTATCTTCTAGCTGTGTGATAGAATAGAGCAATGAGGACTCCTGGGCCTCTTCCATAAGGGTACTAATCCCATTCGTGAGGGCTCAGCTCCATGATCTCATCACCTCCTGAAGACTTCATTTCAATACTACTGTGCTGGAAAGTAGGAGTAGGGGTACATAAACATTTAAACCACAACGCGCCCCCACTCCTAAGCCAAACTCACGTAAATCCTCACGCAGGTCCATTACCTGAGCTCATATTATCAGACATATTTCACATCTCAGAAAAGATCGTAAGTATGCCAAAATACAAATAAAGCAAGAGACTTCTGAACAGACAAAGCAATCATCAGAACCAGACCCAGATTGAGAGATGAAAGACGTTACAACTGTAAGACGGGCAATTGAAACGAACTGTGGTTGATATGCTAAAAGCTCCAAAGGAAAGAGTAGACTGCATACAAAAACAGATACCAAGTTAAGCAGAGAGAGAAATTTTACGACAGAACTAGAAGGAAATGATAGATGTCAAAAATCCCATAACAGCAATTAAGAATACCTTTGGTTTGCTTAGCAGTTAACTTGATAAGGCTAAGGGGAAAAAAATGAGTCTGAACACAGGCAAATGGAAACTTCCTAAACTGAAATGCAATGAGAAAAAGAATTTTAAAACAATGGAACGTGGAAAAGTAATTGTGGGAAACTTCAAAGGGCATAGATATGTGTAATTAAAATACCAGAAAGAAAGGAAGAAGACAGGAAGATTCTCAACTACTATTACTTAACCATTATTACTTCAGCTGAAGTAATAATAGTTAAGAATTTTACTTCAGCTGAAGTAATAATAGTTAAGAATTCTTCTAGCACCACCAAATCACAAACTCTACATGCTCGGAGAGCACCAAGCATGATACATAGTAAAAACACTGAGCAAAAATAACCTAGGCCTATCATTCAAACTGCAGAGAACCAAAAGCAAAGAGAAAAACATTAAAAGAAAGGAAGAAGTCTTACCTATGGAGGAACAAGGATAGAAATGGTAAAAGACTTCTGTTGAACACTGGGCAAACAGAAATTGTGGAAGAAAAGATTTAAATCAGAATATGGAAAAGAAAATGCCACCAACCTTGAACTCCTTATCCAGTGAAACCATTTTTGAGAATTGAGAAAGAAATAAGTACTTCTCCGAAAAGCCTAAGGGAATCCATTACACGACACACACAAAAAGTTAAAAACTTCTTCAGACAGAAAGAAAATGATATAGGGCAGATATTTGGTCTTTAGAGAAAAACCAAGAGCACCAGAGAAAGAATGGATAAAAGTAAGCTAAAATATTTTATCATATTCTTAATTGATCGAAGACCTATGTGACACTGCAACCTATGTTGCAATTTGAGTGGATTAGGAAGCTCCTAGAGAGGTGATTGGTTCATTGGAATACTGTGTTCATCAGTGAACTAACCCAAGATGCTTATAGCCCAATATGTTACTAAGAGATAGGGCACAGTTGGAGAGGGGTCACTGGGACACGCCTCTGGAGGGTGTATCTCTTTTTCACACTTTTCTCCTGCTCTGTTTCCTGCTCACCATGAAGTAAGCAACTTCATTCCACCCCGCCTCTCTGCTACAATGTACTTGTGTTGGAGCCACCTGACCACGGCCTAAACACTCTGAAACTGCCCACCAAATTAAACCTCTCCTTTAAGTTCCATCTGTCAAATATTTTGTACCAGCATCAGTAAGATGCCTAACAAAATGAACTGTTTAAACCAATAATAGTACCAATATACAGTCAGCCTTCTGTATCGGTGTATTTCACCAACCATGGATAAAAAATATTTGGGGGAAAATGTATGAGTACTAAACTTGTGCAGATTTCTTTTCTTGTTATTATTTCTTCAACAATACATATCACAACCACTTACATATCATTTCCATTTCCATTGTATTTGGTAGTATAGAGGATCTAGTAATGATTTAAAGTATATAGGAGGTTATGTATAGGTATATGCGAAATTAATGCCATTTTATATAGAGCTGGAGCATTTGCAGATTTTTATATTCACAGAGTCCTGAAACCAATTCCACTTGGATTCCAAGGGACAACAATATTCGGTAACTATAGCAATCGATAATTGAAATCAATAACAGCGATATCATAAAGAGGAAGGAAAGAGAAAGTGTTAAAATTTTTTATAAACTTCTTGAACTATTCATGAAATGATATTGTGCTATTTGAAAATAGATTTGAATTAGCTGTAAATGTATGCTGCAAATTCAAGAGAAATCACTACAAAATGGGTTTCTAAAAAGTACAATTTATATGCTGAGAGAAAATGGAATCATATAAAATATTCAATTAAAACCAGAGAAGAAAGAAAATAAGTGGAAAAAGAATAAATGCAACAGGCAGAAAACTTTACAAATATCATACCTAAATCCAATATCAGTAAATTAATATTTAAATGTAATTATATAAAAGCAGTAATTAAAAGATAGGCTGTCCAAGTAGATTAACTAAAAACTCCAACTACATACTGCAGTGAGAAAACTACTTTCAATATAAAGACTAAGTTAAAAGTAAAGAATAGAGAAAATAGAGAATAATATACCATGCTAATAGAGAAAAATATACCATGCTAATGCTAATCAAAAAAAGATAATCCAAACATTCAAAAAAGCAGAAAAAGTAGAAAATCATATCATAAATATCCATATGCCTTCACTTAGCATGATCAAATCTTAACACTTTTTCAATATTTGATCCAGTATTTATTTTAAGAAATAAAGATAAAGCTGTCTTCAGCAAAAAAATATGTATATATGTTTGTGTTTATTTTAAAGGGAAGGAAAATACCAGAAGAAATTGATAAAATAATTGGAAATGGTTATCTCAGAAATTGGACTATGAAGTAGATACCAACTGTTTTCCATTAGAATACTAGGTGTATAATTTGATTCTGATTTTTTAAAGTACATGATAAAATTTAGCATCTTTTCATGATAAAAACTTAACAAAATAAGAAGACAACTTTCTAAGCTCATAAGAGGCTCTCACATAAAAACCTACAACAAACATACTCCTTAAAACATTAGAAGTATTTTCATTCTAGTCAGTGAGATGTTAAAGTTTTCTCTAACATTTTATTAAATATGCTGGAAGTTCTAGACATACAGTAAGATAAAAGAAAGGCACATTTATACGGATCAAAAAGAAAACTGTCACTATTTACAGGTGCTGTGATTGACTCCAAATGGGATAGAAGAGAATCTATACAAAAATCTACTAAAGCTAATAAGAAAATTCAGCAAGGTGGTTGGACAGAAAATCAACTGTATTCTTAGGAACTAATAAGAGACAAAACATGTAATATAAGGACATACCTTGCAAACTTGGGATATTTAGGAATAAAGTCAGCACAAGACATGCAAGATCTTTACTAAAACATAAAAAGAATCATCTAAATGAATGAGGAAATGAACCAAATTTATAAATAGAAAGTCCCATTATCAATATCTACCAATAAGAAGGTGAACTAATAATATGGTTTGGTTTACTTATAAGTTGAATATAAAAAGTTAAAATGAACAAACTACAGCTACATACATAATTGTGTATAAAACTCAAAAGTAATATTAAATATAAAAGGCAAATGATAGAACACATAGAGTATTATACAATTTCTATATTTTTAAAACACGCAAAACTATATTGTGTATGAATACCTACGTAGTAAAACCATAAACATCAAATACAATATGGCAGTTACTTTTGGAGTAGAGGATAGGGCAGTGTTTTTCAAACTCTACATGTTGTAATAATTACCTGGAGAGTTTAAAGAATACTACTGGCTGCCTCTGCAGACCTCCTGATTTAATTAGTATGAGATGAGCCCCAGGCAGTGGGAGTTTTAAACCTCTAGGTTATTATAGTGTGGAGCCTGAGACCCACTGAACAGAGGATGGTTAAAGGCAGGGCCATTACCCAGGTAGCTTCAGCTCTATTTGGGAAATGTCTATTTCTTAAAATAAATACTGGATCAAATATTGAAAATGTTAAGATTTGATCATGCTAAGTGAAGGCATATGGATATTTATGATATGATTTTCTACTTTTTTGCTTCCTTGAATGTTTGGAAGGGAAAGAGGAGGGGGAGGGGTGAGGAGGGAGGCTAGAGGGGAGGAGGAAAGACTTGAGGAGGAGCTAAGTCTGCTTCCCCTAACTTAGTCACGCCTACCAGTGCGGTCTCCAGCCCTTCAGAAAAGAGGGTGGACTCCATGCCTTCATTCAGCCCTTGCTTGTTTACCAACTTAGCAGCCACTTAACTGGAGCTGAAAGGTGGTAAGAAAAATACACTGGAGCCTTGACCTTGTTAACTGATCTTGGTCTTACAGTAAACGGCAAACGCCCAGCTCAGGCATGACACGCAACAGCAACGGAGGGCTCATACATCATTACGTCCAGATTCCTGCTGCGGCAGCCATTCACTCATTGGGAAATACTGAGTGCGAGGTACAGAAATAGTTCCATATTGTCTCCCCCAAAATCACATGTATGGGCCAAACACACTCTAACACTTGTGTATCAACCTCAACTCTGTAAGCTGGGCCCAGTCTGTATTTTAGCATTTACAGGTTTACAGAAATAAGCCGTCTTCATTAAATGAGACGGCTCTTCTTGACAACAGAAGTGAGTAGAGTGAAATGATGAACTAAAATTGTTTGAGAGTCACAGAGAGGATTACTTGATGAGTATCAAGGTGAAGGTGTTGGTTTACCGGAACATGGAAAGAACAAAATAGTCTTCATAAACCTTAATTCTCCTGGCCAAAACTTTGTTCTCATGTAGAAACACGAGAGATGCTGCCCATACTCATTTCTACTGAAAAAGAGATCGATGTAGCTGGACTAAACAGTAGAAACCAACCCCAGCTGCAGGTTAAGATCCCCTTGGACATTTTTCTCTAAACACCAAGGTTTCCCACAAAGTGCTTGAACCTGACTCTGGGGATATAAACTGGCAGTGCAGGCCAAGAAAGACAGGTCTTGAGTAAACAGAACATCTAGGATGGTCTAATTTGGTGATTCTCAAAATATTTATAGTATTTATGTTGTTGGAGCCTTTTCTTCAAACCTAATTAAAGCAAAGCTACTAAATATGTAAATAACTGTGCTGTGCTTTCGTTTGTTTTTTTGTTTGTTTTTTTGGACTGGGAATCGAACTCAGGGGCTTGCGCCTGCCCGGCAGGCACAGTGCTGCTGAGCTATATCTCCGGCCCACGCTGTGTTTTCTTAATTATAGTTGCAAAGGGAGCGTCAGGGCTGGGGAGAGACTCGGGCCTGCGCTCTGCGTTCTCCAAGGCCCGGAGTGGTTCTGGATGACTCAGAGCCAAACCTGCAAACTTTTCATCTGAAAGTTTCAAACGTCTCACTTGAAAAATTAGGAAGCAAAGACCCAGACGCTGCTTTGGAGCAGATTAACAGTCTTTTTTGAAATCTATAAAGAAAAAAGAAAAGAAAAACTACACAACATCTTCCTAAGAGGGACACAGCGAGGAGGTTCTATCCACGCCGGTTTAAATAGAAGGCAGTGGAAGGGTTCAGACGACCTGGTTCCCCTCTCATATCCAACATTCTACCCATGTGGCACTCTTTGAACCACCATTTCTCAACAGAGAAGCACTAAGGCTCCTGGCTTGTTTTGTTTCTTGTTTTTGTTTTTTTTTTTTTAAAGATATTAGCTTAAGCTGTTTATTACTGTCGCTGTTTGATGATTCATTTATGATAATTAATGTATTAATTCTTTGTACTTGTGCCCTCAAGCAAGTCTGTGAAGGATATAATTTTAAAAATTCAACAAATATAAATAGTAAGCCATAACTGTCCAAGCAATATTATTTAAGTGCTATTTCATGAATTATAATATTTCAATTCCATTAACTTAAAAGGATTAGCTTCTAAGGGATTGTTGTTTTCTGATCCTATTTCATGTTAATTACTCCTGCTATGCTAATAACATCAGAGTTCGCACTGCATCTTCCACTGAGGCTTCATTCATATTGAAATTCAGTGTGTAGAAAGGAGGAATGGGAATACTCCAGTTCAATCAAATCTAACTACAGTGTTTATGGGATACCTCCTACATTCTAAAGACAGAGACAGATGCAAAGATGTCAGTGGTCCCAAGCAAGTAATAGGCTCCGCAAGGTCACAGGTCCGATTTATTGAACACCTACAATGTACCATGTATGTTATATTTAATCTTCATGACAGTGGTACAAGGTAGAAATTACAGTCTCAATTCCGTAGATGAGGAAAGATTAGGAGAGTTAAATGACTTGCCCACAGGCCCCTAGCATTTGACAGACCCAGAATCTGATCCCTGGGATGACTTGCTCAGAAATCCTGCCTTTTCCTAACAGCCTGTGTGACAGAAAATTTCCAAATAAAGCAGGGAAGCAGGTAACATTCACCTCTGGTCTCCCGACCATACTTCATGTGATGCCATTTTTCTGTGAGAGCTCTTCTCCTTGCCTACCTCTTTTCTGGTACTTTCTTCACTATTTCCTGGATTTCAGGTTCAACATAGAGTCCCTTCAGGCATGCTTTCTCCCTTAAGTCCTCTATACTCTAGACCAGCACTATGCAGTAAGAGAGGTGCTCTGTACCTGCTCTCTTAGAAGAGGAAGTCACTGGATGCTAGCCCTCCGAGTGTGTCCGGTGTGACTGAGGAACTGAGGTTTGTTTTATTTTCACTAATTGAAGTTTAAGCCGTCACAAAGGACCAGTGTCTACCATATTGGATAGCACAGCTCTGAAATGTTCTGAACTCACTCTGGGTTTAAACATTCTTTCTCCATGTTTTAATTTTTCCAGATCCTCTTCTGCTAGGACGCAGGATCACTTGCTGCGTCTAATAGGTTGATGGTGATTAATTTGCCTGTGTGCCTCTCAGGAAAGATGGCTGCGTCTGAGCAGAGCCCTCTGGACATGAAAATGTAAATTTTTCAGATGCAATGACAGGCCACTAGGGGAGACTTTTTTTAAAAAAAATCAAAAAGGCCTTTAAATCTCATTAATTCCATAACATGTGAACAGCCAGATGTTGGTTACACATAATTTTTTCTGTCACATTCACCTGTTAGGATACTATAGCAATTCGTATCACATACCTTGATATGTTTTCAAGTTATTTTTTTTAAAGTACTTTCCCCAGAGCACATTTTAATCTGCTCTCTTTCTTTAGACTAACACCAACTGGAGTGCCAGGCTTCCTGAAATGGACTGCTGCCAGGGGCCAGAAGGGAATAACCCCAACCTACCCCACTCCTGCGGCAGTGATGTGGGCCACACTACGAGGGCCACACTACGAGGGCCACAGCAGGCTCTCCACCCCACGGGTACTGCATTTCCCCCAGTTATAAAACTGAGGGCTTTTAAAGTTACAAAAGTGAGGCCTTTCGGTGTCAAAAATTGAGGAGGAACAAAGCATAGAGCTGAGACACAAAAGCAGACAATATGGGCTGACCCCACCCAATCACCAGACTTGGAAAAAAAGAAGAGAGAGATAGGTCTAGAGGAAAAGTGATGCAAGGATCAAAGCAGAAGAGGAAACCGTGGGCATCCAATAAGACAGCTCCACATTGTGCCCGGGGAAGGCCAGCTCCAGGGTTCCTGCGAGATAATGCAGGGCCTCCAAGTTGATCGTGAGGCCTTACTGGTGAGCGTGCCTTTGCTTTCTGGTAGTTTACCTGGCCTGCTAGTACTGCACACAGCTAAGTTAGTTATAAACATTCCAGGCAGTTAGACAGGGCTGGGCTCTCAGCACAGAGGACAACTGTAGAAGGAGTGGAGGACTGACTACACCCACATACTTCCCTAGGGGTGAACAGCAGTGATTCATATTCTAAGTAGCCGTCAATCACCTTGGGCGTTGGACCAAATCTTCCTTAGCCCATTCCTTCCAGGACAATCTTTGTTCACTCCTTGTACACATGCTACATGACTTGCTTCCCCCATCTGATCCCCACTTCATATTATCTAAGCAGCCATATTTGTTGCACTCTTATTGGTTGACCATAGTTTTGCCCCACCTCACACCTACGTTGTCACTTCTCTTTGGATCAATATTACCTAAGCAACTCTACTTGTAATCTTGTTAGTTGACTATGTGTCTTGGCTACTTTTCTCTCATTGCTGAGACAACATACCTAATGTGCAGAATTAAGAAAGGAAAGGTTTACTTAGCTCACAGTTCATGGAGGTTTCAGTCCATACTCGGCTGGCTCCAAGGCAGAGTGGCACATGTCAGAGGGCAACAGTTCATGGTGGTGGAAAAGAGCAAAAGCAACCAGAGCAAAAAGGGAGGAGCAGAGAGAGAAAGTCCCCCTTATGTTGTATGCAGGCTACCCGCCCCAGAGCAGGTGTAGCACTCACACCCGTGGTCCCAGCGTTGGACCATGAATCAATCAAAAATTAAAGAAGACTGCCCCATGACTGCATGAGGCTTTGAGGGGACATCTAGACACCATAACAGTATAGTTGTGTCCCAACTTCAACCCACCTTATCTCGTGGCTTTGCTTAATAAAACATCCTTGAGAAGCAGGGGTCAGCAGGGGACCCCCTTCTGTTTCTTTTAGATGGAAGCTTTCTTTCCCTCAGTAAATACTTCCTACTGTTAATCTCTGTTGTTCTTACTCATTCTTTGATTTTAGAGAACATGAATTTGGCATATCAGACATCTAGTGGATTGGGAGCTGTTATTTGGATTATTTGTATAACTTTTTTTTTTTTTCTGGTACCAGGAATCGAACTCACAACCTTGTGCTTGCCAGGCAGGTGCTGTGCAGCTGAGCTAAAACCTCAGCCTCCTATTTGGATTATTTGGAGGTCCTATAGCATCCCTGTATCATACACCCTACATCATTAGGAGGATCTGGGAAGACTCCTTTGCTCTGATACATTCATTCTTTTGTCACACACATTTAGTCCCAATCGCAAACAGGCCATATGCTGTTGGCCCTTGGCTTCAGGAAACTGACCTGGTAGGGGAAGAAAGGCAGGAATCTATCTACACAAAAAACTGAGTAGAATTCTTTTTTGTTTTTTATTTTTCTGAGACAGAGTCTCACTATGCAGTTCAGGCTGGCCTTGAGCTCACTTTGTAGCACAGGCTGGTCTCAAACTTACAACGATCCTCCTACCTCAGCCTCCCAAGTGCTAAGATTACAGGCGTGCACCACTATGCCAGGCCCTGAGTAGAATTCTTAAACAAATGCCTTCAAATTAGTACTCAAAGACAATTTAAGGAAGATAATCATTGCAGATATCATGGTGTTTTGTTTCAGAAATATTTTAATTCTTTTGTGATCTTCAGCCCTTCATTCTGGGTTACTCACATGAAAGCACCGTGTAGCATAGTTCTTATTGAAATTAGAGGGTTGCCCTCAGAGAGAAGCATTCAGGTCTACATTTCTAAACATCATACACAGCTCCTCAGGTACCTGGTTCCTCTCCCTTCAGGTATACAACACATCACAGCATCAAGTCAGCAGATGTGAAAGACCATGATTTTGCAATGACAATAATAGTAATTTACATAAGTGAAATAAAACATCCTTTTAAGAGGTTTCACAACCATTAATTTTCTGTCTTTAGAAGATATTGTTCTGCAGTGTTTTTGGTGGCTGATGCGTACCTTGGGTTTAAGACTGGGAATGAGAGGATTTGCAATCTTTATGCCAAGGCTGTTTCTCAGAATGAACCATTACTGCGCCGTGGAAAAGGTGACTTGCCACCCGGCTCTAACTCCTCAGGTTTTTCTCTGCATACATATTAAAAGGAGCTTTTTCTCCCTAACAGAGCCTTTCTGATTTGATAGAACAGTGTAAGATATATTCACTCAAGTGAGAAAAAAGGAAATTGAGGTCTGTTTGTATTTCCTTGGGGCCATAAGCTTCTTAAGCAGAGACTGTCACATTTTTCCTCTCTCGCGGGCTGTAACAGTGGCATAATATTCTGCACCTAATTAGTCATTTCATTAATTTTATTGGAGCCACTGTTGGTGACCACATTTTATTGGTGACCACTGTTATAACTCGAAGGCTCTGCCCTGGGCTTCCAGCACTAAAGACAATCCGTTGTAGTGCAAAGGCACAAATGCACTCAACAAAAGACAGGACCGCCAGTGGAGCCTGCAGTACGGTGTCCGCTTCACGTTTCTCATTTCCTTAATGGGCAGTCCTGCGGCAGCTCTCCGCAGGAACTGTGGACAAGCCAGGAGCCCACTACCTGGAGGTCAGCAAGGAGGCAAACAGTGTCCACTGTGTGTCATCTGTGCTTTCTTAATATTGCATGTCAGATTAATGAGTGGATGACTGTTTTAAACCATGAAACATTTGAATATAGATGTATGTATATGCCCATATTTGTGTGTGTGTATGCCCATATTTGTGTATGTGTGTGTGTATATGTCTAGATTAGAAGACATTACAGTCAGAAAAGGTGGCGATTGTTTAAGAACTCCCTTACATTTATACTCTCCACAATACTGAGTATTCAAATCAGTGCCCCCCCCCCCCGACACACACGTTTTAGCTCATTGTTTCAGACTCTTCCAAGGGTGCCCCTGTTGCTCCCACTGCCAGCAGCATCCCCAAGCTGAGAACAGAAGGAGATTTCATTTTCACACCTCAGAGAGTTTAGTTCTCTGCTTTCAGAAGCCAGTTCCTGCCCCTAGTTTTCTCATAACAATAAGAAGGTGATTTAACAAGGAACAAATGGTTAAGCAGAAAGACTTAGTTGTGCTCATGTTTGCATGGCTTTATATTCACTGTTTAATTTTTCCAGTGCAAAGTACAATGAACATTTGAGTCTGTCTGGCTGTGAAGAAATAGAGATTGTTGTTATTACTGAGAATAATTCATTTTGGTGTCTTCTCACATCCTGGGAGCCTAATCCTTCTAACTTCATCTGAAGACCCTGCCTTCCGTGACTACACATCTAACATGGATATCTTCCTGTCCTTGTGTTCTATAATATGTAGGTCCAGACTTGCTGCTTTGTATAGTTTGTCAAAAGGAAAAAAAATTCATGTAGAATAGGGACTGAATTACACCCAGCATTTTTCCTCATTCAGTATCTAAAACATAAAGAGCCCTCCATAAATATTTGTTAAATTGAAACTCAAAGCAAAGATGAAGTCAAGTCATTACATCCGTGAATCATGGTGGCTATTAATCATCTTTTAGCAAGATTTCAAATAATTTTATAAGTCTTGCCTTAAATCAACTATAGCCTGTATTGGTCAGTTTCCCATTGCTGGAATCAGTACCCAAAACCCATGATTTAGAAGAGGAACCAGTTTATTTAGCTCACAGTTTTTGAGGTTTCTATCCATGGTCGGCTAGCTTCAAGGCAGAAACATCATGGCAGAAAAGCATGGCGGAGTAAAGCTACTCAGGTCATGACAGCCATGAAGCAGAGTGGAGGAACAGCACCAGAGAGAAAGAGGCCAGGGACCAGGTATAGTACTCACAATCATGCTCCGTGGCCCACCCAGACACACAACATCCCCTATCATGGCCTATTTAATCTTTCTAATCTAGGCAGCTCTCAAGTCAATCAACTCAATAGTTAAGCTTACCTGTCACAGGCTCCATATATCAAACTCTGGCATATATTTGACTTTCTAGTTAACCATAAAATTTTTGAACACTTTTTTTATATAAACTAGAATGTCTTGGATTTGAAGAGATCATGTACTTCTAGATCAGTTAAGCAGTAGATTTTTTTTTTAGCTGTAGATTTTTTTACATGAAAATGTTCAAATTTTTCCCATTTGGAAACAGTGGGGTGCCTGTCCATGCAGCAAATTCATTTGTGCTGGTAGAAACTAAAACAAGTGTCTGCTGACTGGTAGCTCATTCTGGAAGAGAAAATTTTTATTTCTCTGTGCTCTATTTTTAGTGGCAGATTCCTGGTCATCAAGTCAGTAAGCTTCTTCTGATACCATCTTGTACCTTCTGCACTGTGACCGAATGGACATGCATTCCTGGGTTTATTCTTCTTTAATGCCACATACATACATTGAGCTATGGCTTTCCTCTGTAGTGTAATTTTCTTCTCCTGTCACTTCTCATTTCCCCAGCCCCCATACCACTTGTCAGTTTCTGAATATCCTCCCAGATCTACCCCTCATTTATTTTAAAAGAATGAAAAAGAGTTAGTGTGTTACCATTTAATTTGGGCATTCCCAGGGAGCATTTGAATCCAATTTGGTCGGATGGCAGAGTTTCCAGGTTTCCCCACACTTGTAAAATTTCTCCTCCCTGGAGGATCTAGCCCTTCATTTCTTTCTAGCT